TCCTAACAAAAAATGACCTAAAAATGGGCGAAGCAGAGTAGCAGCTAAAGGAGCTAAGGATCCATTTCCATCACGCCAACCAAATCCTCGATCCCCGGGAAGCTTTAATATGATACCTGCCTTGGCTGAGAAATTAGCTCGCATCACGGTGTGTACGCCTAATACGCAGTCAAACGCACCTGCGATCTAAAGGTAATTCGAAAGCATGGCGCATCCCATTCCGAGAGGTTTGAAGTCAGTGAGCATTCAACCGCGCCAACCTTTTCTGTCAAGTGTGGAGAAAAGTTCCTCTGCAACTTGTCACTCTAAAATAGACCCAGCAAACTCCTCAATTATGTAACCCTTTAAATTTCAAAAATTTCTGAACTTTCCCTAAAAGTCCGTTCTCCCTTGATAGAAGTCGACATGTCAGTACTGGGTTTGACACGATTCCTTCAAAAAGGTGAGCCGTCATCCGGCTTAGTGACATTTTCACACGTAGAGGCGTGGTCGCGGCGAGCGCGGACGAGTCAGTAATGCTCCCGCTCAGTTTGGGCGATCCTTGGACGAAGACTTGATGCAGCCGCCCGCAACAGCGGGGCGCTTCCAACTAGGGTGAATCGAAGAAGTGGGCGCGCCGCTACGACTTTCTCTCCCTTCACGGAGGTTTCGATACGATCCCCTTCAACTTCCCGCACATTCGGTTTAATAGTGAAAAAAAGTCGGCTTCAGATGCACGAGAGGGTGGCAGCGCCGCTGAGAAGCGAATGCTACGCGCTTCAAAACTAATTTTTGCACAGAGTGGCTTCTCATTCTATACTTTCAGGACTACTTAGTTCATGCGACATTTGCCAACTATATTATACCAGCTCCAATGCACAACCTGTGACGAAGTTTATATCGGAGAGACTGGCGGAATGCTAGACATACGCGTCAAGAACATTTGCCTGAAAAAGGCGGGGGAACCTGGTTACTCCTCTTGGCAAGCACCGGTCAGAAGAGCATCAGCAGCATCCGCTGAGGTTGGTTCGCTTGTTGGATTTCCCTTTCTTTGTGCATCTTGAGGAGTATCGTGAGGCTTGACCGGGTGAGTTACACGCTAAGGAACTTCCAACCGACTTCAGGTCCTGAAGACGACGAATTGTTCGAAACGTCGACCGAATAAAGAGTTCCATCGTAACAACCTGTACAGCAAAACAACACAAACAATACTGCCAGCATGCCCAGGTTTCAAGAAGAACTTCCACTGGAAACCCAGTTTTCATTACAAAACCTTTTCCTGTTCCTTTGTACACTCTTATGATTATTTAGCGCTTTCAGTTTCAGAAATTATCATTAAGGAAATTTATCATTAAGAAATGTGATAAATAAATGACCCAACCCCTCCACTAAGAAATGCTTCTCCCCAACCCGTTGCCAGCTTTGGAATATCTCGAAGTCTGCCTAACACCCTTCCCATTTTGATTTTTGCTCAGAATTGGATTGAAATACGCCGAATATTATATATTTAGCTTTGTACTTGGTCTTTCAAAAGTTTCTATCGTTCTCCTAAAACACTCCACATTTCCTGCTCAACCCAATGTTTAACTCGACTTTGTTCTGAGGCATTTTTTATTATTTTCACGGGTTCGAGTGCGGTGTATTCGATGAGCAAATTGGCATGATTTTCTTTTTCTAGCTTTAAATAGACCTGAAAGTAGCGGGAACAGTTCAAGATATTAACGATGCACTTGGCTAGATTTGCAATAAATGTGCTCAAAGCAGTAGTTCAAAAAGTTATTGTAACGAAAGCGAGAGCTTGATGGTAGTGATGGTCGGATATCGGACGTTGCCACCCATTAGCCAAAAGTTCTGAAAGCACTCGTGCGTAAGACCATTGAGGAGGTTCTGCCCAACCTGGGCGTATATGGTTTGTGAGCCAAGCTATACGGAAGTAGCTGGAAAGTCCAAAAAATTTGATAGGGGCGTGCCGCGACAAATCACCAATTTGAAGGGTCGTCCATCAAATTGTAGCTTGTTTTATGTGATAAAAGCGACTCGTTTTTCTACAGATTTGCGACGTACAATGAAGAGCGGATTCTTCTCTACAGTCCACGAAGCTTTGCTGAATAGCTCGACGGCGATCAAGCTCTACAAACTTTGCAAAACTTAAACTGTGCTGAAGGAGGGTTATGGCAACTTTCATAAGGTCAGCGGCTGGCCATGTTTCTTCCGTATCAGGTGGAACTGTTACAGTGGAGAATCAATCTTAACATTACGTCAAAATTCATCAAAAACTCCAAGACATGGGTCCAGCATTCCTCATTATAAAGGAACGGACACATCCCTGAAAGGTGTCTTGAACGCACATCGCACCGCCAACCCTCACAAGTTGGACCAGCTGGGCTACGGAGTGATGCTGCGAACATCTTACTCAGTAGACCTCTTTTCTATCAACTGTCACTTTTCCGAGGATCTCGATAGCTTTCTTAAAGGCACGCTCCGGGATTAGGCGCGCTTGCCTGTTCCATCCCGGGGGTAGTAGACAGGCGGACAAGCGTTGATGTCGCGCCCCTTTTGCCGCTTGAAAGTGCGCGACAAAGGCGCAAGGAGCTCGTCCGACCCGCAACTCACACCTTCGTCCGCAAGCCCCACCCTCCGCTGTCGGTTGCCACGTGGCGCTGCTTGAAAAGCGCGGGCGCATTTGAGGCAGCGGTCCCATCGCGATCCAATGTCATTGGCACTGGAGCAAGTAGAGTTAGGTTTGAAACTCGTCCAACGCGCCCTTCTATCCCAAGGTGGAATGTGGCTGAAATAGGGGAGGTCTCTGTACGGGGCGTAATCGGTGGTTTCGTTTGCTTTCCTTCTCTTTTACAGACCACCTCCCACCTATAGCTTCTGAACGCTTTTCCACACCTATTTTATCCCGAATCTTGCCTTTAAAGAGAAAGGCTTCAAAATCCAACATGACGCCGGAACGACCCCCCCCCCCTTAGTTCATCGCCTCTAGATCTTCAACATTCTAAACAAACGCACCCACTAAAACGGCCTTTTATAGCGAAAGCTCCGCGCATTCAAAGCTTTTGGTGAACTTGAAAGGTTTGGTTAGAGCCGAGATACACGCATTTGAAACTCGAGGTCGAAAATCGGCAGAACGTTTGAAAGACCTAATAGATTCGAGAAAGACCCGAGGGCACTGAACGTGGTTCTTTAGAACTCCGACGCTTTTCCCACCATCAGATCAGATTTTAGAGAAAGCATAAATGAAGCATAAGCAAGCAGCAAGCATAAATGGTGCAGAGTGCCAAAGGACAGCAAAAATGACTTCAGAAGAACTAAAATGCCATGAATAATCTCACCTGTGGATCAGCGGATTTATCATTCTCTAAGTGTCGAATTATTGGTCTTCTGTTATTCCTCACCATTCCTGTTCGGAATTCAAAACAACGTCGTCCTTCCGAGCCTCGCGAAAATAGTAAATGGATGAATTACCAGGTGTACAATAAAATATGCTCTGTTATACTGCAGGAGGCCTGTTAAGTGACGGGTGCGTTTTCCCTAAAATCGATATCCTTTGAGCTTCTCGATGCTCTCGATACTGTTTACGTGCTAATCACCAATTCTGCAATTGCGATCGATCTCCGATAGGAAACAAAGTGTATTTCTTTTCGAGTAGTTTTTGAAGTAATCAATTCGACGTTGTACGGAAAGCCAACACTTCGATAAGTTACTTGATAAATTTTCATTTTTAAAGCCCAAATTTGTTGAAGAAGATATCACAGATTCAATCCTGCAAACAGAAAGCAGCTCTGGAAATGATCAATTTGTCTTCTTCGTCTCATTCGGACGAAAATAGGATTCGACCAGGGTACATGCCGGGTCGATGAAATTCTTGTAGATCACCGTGGCACCGTTGAACGTCGGCAGATATAGGTACATGAGAAATGAGATCTGGAATCGATACCCAATCTGTTATCGATCTTATCAAATCGAACCAATTCAGCTCACTTTGAATAGCCAGTAGAAGGGGAATGACGAGAATGCGGAAAAATCCACGATCGAAAATGTCGCAAACACGATCCAATAGATTAGCCATTGAGTGTCGTCCTCTTTGACTGATGAGCGAACAGCCTAAAAATGGAAAAGTTAAAAAAAAAACCACTCATTCAAAAAGAAAAAAGAGTTCATCACTGAAAACAATATCTTGTTGAAGGCACATTCCACTTCCCATTCGAGCAGTTCATTAAAACAAGTCCCTCCCTTGAGTGGGGTGGATGGGTCTGCAACCGTGGAAGATGGCGATTTCTCAACCCAAAACGTGTGACATGAACGCATGGACTTTTGTGGCTAACGACTTGTATCATGTTCCCCTCCCCCTCCCCCTCTCTCCTCCGCACCTCTCGCATCTCTACTGTTCACCGTTGCCAAAGCATTGGTGGCTGCGTCTCGCACATTCCCTTCGCTCCTCTCTTCTCCCAGGCTGTTCCCTCACCTCAGTCGCAGGTTTCCCTTGGAATTTCTGTCTCGTGGACTCAGCTGGCGTTTTATAAATACAGACTCTTTTCAAAGTTAGGCTGTTTGTTCTCCTTTTTTATTTACTGATGGTCCATTTCGCAGTTCTTTCATTTTGAAGCGCAATAGCCCCACCTAAGTGGTCAAATGTGCCTTCAAGAGGCTGTACACCCTGTTTCGTGTGCATTTATAAACAATTCAGGCCTCCAAAGTACAGTACAGTCCTGAACGAGAGGTGAAGTATAAATGTGTGTTGGATGTATGGAAATAGAATGGAACAACATAACGTATACGGGATTGCATTAACTTCTGCCTCTCAGAACAAAGACAACTGAATGCCTGCACAGCGAAAACATGAACATGTCCCACCAGGGTCGGTCCTATCGTTGTTACTTTTCGAAAATTTTTTACGACCCCCCTCCCCCAAGGTGGATTTGATACGACCCCCTTTTCCCTACCTCCACCATCTCCATCTTCCATCAAAACCCCGCCCACTTTTTCCTCCAAAAATGCCGTCGAGCGGGGGGGGGGTATATAGTCACTCTGAAACGGTAAATATCTCCGAAAATTTCCTTCTATTTCCACCATTTCAACCCATTTTTACCTATACTCCCACTACTTCCTTTTCTAAAAGGGGAGGGGGTTAGGTTAGACATAGGGTTGACCCTGGTCCCACGTCGTTCGCACTTTAAAGAACCGACTACGATAAAGAGGAAGCCCATCGAAAAAGTACATGTGCCACACGAATGTACGCGACAAGTAGCAGTAGCCTGGCTGCCAAGGGAGCAGATGTGGCCTTTCACGACGAAAGGTGCGCTGGTTGCTGAGCAGGACTTCGAAAGCACTCCGCCCCAAAAGCGATCCGCCCACTAGTTTAGTTGGTGATTTGGACGAGCTGTGTTGCCAGCAGCGGCACAACTGGAGCAACTCGACTGGAGCATGGATTGGCATGGTGCCACCAAACGCGTTGCAGTAAACTCGTCCATTCGCGTCTTTGTCATTGTCTTCGAGCGAAAACCAACGGCCGCATAAGGGAGTCCCGTTTTGCGTTTCCTTGACGAAGTTCTCTGCTTTTTTGCTATTGGCGTCCCCACGACCCCTCCGAACCCTTCGAAACTTGTCGTAACCGCGGCTTTTAAGTATTCCGTTCTAAGTCCTATCGTTAGACCTCGCCCTTGATTTATTAGGTGTTTCAGAAAGTTCTGTCGTTTTCGTAATAACTTCGTATAGCATACAAAACTGACATTCCACTTTTGGATGCTTTATTTCCCTTGAAATCTAGGAAAGCTGCAATTGATGTTGATGTCATTTTGAAGAACTTTTCCAGCTCTATCCAATGCTCAGCACAACTTTATCCTAAAATATTTTCTTATAGCTTTTTCAAAGCTTTGAATTCAGTATACTCGAGGAGCAAGCTGGCATGACTTTCTTTTTCTAGCTTTAAATAGACCTGAAAGTGGCGGGATCAGTTCAAGATATCAACGATGCTTTGGGCCTAGATTTGCAATAAATGTGCTCAGAAGCAGTAGTTAAAAAATTTATTGTAAGGAAGGCGAGAGCCTTGAATATGATGAGAGTAGTGGTCGGACATCGGACGGTGTCTCCGATTAGCCAAAAGTTCTGATTGAAGCACGTAAGACCATAGAGGAGGTTCTGCCCAACGTGGGCGTATATGGTTTGTACAGCCAAGCTATACGGAAGAAGCTGGAAAGTCTAAAAAATTCGATAGTGGCGTGCCGCGACAAATCACCAATTTGAAGCATCCATCATCAAATTGTCGCTGGTTTTATGTGGTAATCAAGACGACTCCGTTTTATCTCCCCTACCCGAAACTTTGCGACAAGTAAAAAAAACGCGCGAATTCTTCCATTAGCTCGCCGCAAAAGCTTTGCAAACGAAATAAAGACGAAGGGGAAATGAAGCTCTAACCCAAACACTTCGCAAAAGAAATTAAAACCAGGTAAGGCTTCTGAGGGAGGGGGTTTTTTTTTTATTACGTTGAAAAGGGTTGTGGCACAACTTTCATGGGGTCAGCGGCTGGCCATGTTCTTCAGTATCAGTGGAACTGTTACAGTGGAGAATCAATCTTTATATTAAGTCAAAAATCATCAAAAACTCTAAGGCATGGGTCCAGCATTCCTCATTATAAAGGAACGCACACATCCCTGAAAGGTGTCTTGAACGCACATCGCACGGCCAACCCTTCACAAGTTGTACCAGCTGAACTTCAGAGTGGTTCTGCGAACATCTTACTTAGTAGACCTTTGATCTATCTACTGTCAAATTTCTGACGATCTCGATAGCTTCCTTGAAGAGAAATACATCAAAACCCAACATGATGCTAAAACGACCTTCCCTCAGTTCATCGCCTCCAGAGGTCCAGCATTCCAAACAAACGTACCCTGTTGAACGGTTTCTTATAGAAAAGATTCGCGCTTTCAAATGGTTTTTTAATCAACTCGAAAGGTTTAGCCTAAGCCGAGATACGTGCATTTAAAATTAGGGGTTGGAAAACGACAGAACTTTCTGAAACGCCTAATATATGCATAATTTTGTTTTGAAGAATCTAAGGGTGAGGCAACGGGGGTGCAGCCAGTGAGAATTGCCACGCATTTTTCGGAGCGCATTGATCGCTTTAGCCACCACACACTAGAATGCGAAAAATTCCAACGCAAACAAAACGAAATATTTCTAGTTATATCGCAGATGATGTGATATGGAAGGCGTCGTCCATATAAGGATTCGCAACCGAATGGAACGGACCACTTAAAATTACTGCCAGCAATCAAGGCACACAACCAGTTCTTTGAGACAAAGAAGACCTAAAAATTAAAGTCGGTGAAAGTTGATTCTATACCACGATTGAGCCGAGGTCCGTTCCTTCTTCGCGGTGAGACAGTTGTTGAAAAAATGTAATGGAAATGGAATACAAGTGCCTTACATACCAGCCTAGTGAGCCCTTTATATAATAAATAAAAAGACTGTCATCCTTCTACCTCAAAGCAGCAAAAAGGGAAGATGAACAATTCATCACCTTGGATTGGGTTTTTGAGAAGTTTGTTTAATGAAAAAAAAGTCGCTTCATATCTGAACTCGAGTTTCAGTCTCTCTTCTTCTGCTTAAATTCTCCCTTGCACCGGTGTGAGAGTTCCCGAATCGAGTGATTCGCTAGTAGTGAATTCGCAAAGCCTAACAACAGCCTAAATCCCTCGTAGTGGCAGGGTCCGCTGTTCTTGTTAGACGTCTGGGCCGTGTCCAAGGCTTTTGCCGTGGCCCTGACTTCTGTGAGGTCCTTCTTGATGACGTCCTCCACCTTCTTCTTGGGGCTCCTCGCGGTCGCTTGCCTTGCACTTCGAAGTCCATCGCTGTTCTTATCGGATGATCCTGTGGCCTCCTTAGCACATGCCCATACCATCGCAGACGCTGTTCCCGTACCTTCAGCTGGACAGGGGCAGTCTGCATGACCGATTCCTTGTTTCTTACCCTGTCCAGCTGCAGGCCTATCTCAGCATCCTCATCTCGACGGAGTGAAGCTGCCTTTCGTGATTCTTTTTCAAGGGCCTTCTAACCGCAGGCTTCACCGTTGTGCGCTTGACCAGTGTATTTTGACCTTCGACTGAAGAGGGCTCCAGTGGGGTCCCTCCATTCTAACCATGCGGCGTTGATGCAAACCTGACTGATCCACACTACGGTCGGCTGCCGGACCGCTTTCCAGGCATGGAAGAATTTTCTGCTTTTAATGGTAGTAGGACATTCAGGATCAAGTACCTGACTTATGTATTTTGTATTATTTGTCAAAATGATCGCTCAAAGACCACCAGAAGCGAAGAAATCTATGCAACCCTTCAGGAAAAGTAAGCTCAATCGAATACCTTTATCGATCGCCATGCCGGATAGAAGAAACCGACGACATTGGAGATAATCTGCGCCAGTGAACTTATTATTACGTAGAAGAAGAGAAAGAGAATCGTTCCGTAGACTAGCTGAAATTAACATTCAATAAAACCGAACATGGTGCAATGCTAGTCGAGTGGGCACACCACTTCCCTGAATACGGTAGGCGCGCAAAGATGGTACGTGGGTTCAAGGGGGAACGGTCAACAGAATCGATGGCTCGTCGCGCCACCGCGTGCGGCCAATCGTGCGGCGAGGGGGCGGAGCCTTCAGGACGAGTGTTGTCTATATCGACTTCTGAGTAGGATGGCGATCTTCATACTCTCTCTTTGTGACTAGTAGGATGTTTTACAGCGTGAAACTTAAAGTGGGTAGACTTACTCCTCCAAACTATGATGACCGTGCCTTTCTAAAATACACTGTTCATCATTTTAACCACCTGTGATTCAATACTATTTGTTCTTTGGTAATTGCAGAGCTTAAGAACTGGAAATTCTTCTTTGACACGGTTTCCCTAACTTATATCTTGAATTATTCATATCAAATTTTAACTAACAGATGTAAGTGGTTATTAATAAACGAAAGAACTTCTTTTCAGTTACCAAGACTTATGCTCTTCCAACCACTCCTTGAAAATGAGTAGCGAGTACTACCCACGTGCTTACGAGGCAACAGAGCTGACGCTCGCTACTAGTTTCCAGTAAGAGTTATGTGGATGCTATGAACAAAAACTGTTGCATCGAGTCATATATACCGCGGCTTATCGCAACCTTTCTGGGGCTCTAAACAACAAATTCAAACGAAATCTCAATTGGATTCTCCTCACTGGACATTTCTGTTGTTTGTCCGAGCAATGAAGATCTTGTGCGACCTAGTCCTAAAGACAAGAGCCTGAGGCGAAGCCGCCAGCACCATACGTGTAATTGGTTATATCTGGGGGAAAACAATGGTTACAGAACCTGTCCCAAGGTACTTTGCCGTGATGACTGCAACACTATGTTGACTCGAAACAATTCTTTTAATAGTCAACTATTATATATTCGCAGGAATAAGACCTAAAAATAGCTATTGCTTGCTATCATATGGTGTGGCTATCATATGGTTGACTACAACATTATCTAAAACATCCTTTTTGTTTGAACGAACCCAGAGTGAACGATTCATCCCGAACATCTTTTTTATGACCACATTCAAAAATTCAGCGTGTTGAGAGCATGTAAGAGCTGAATCACGGTTGCGCATCGAAGCAAATACCTCAATAGTTTGGCTTACAGCAAAAGGAAGAAGTCGAAACTTTGACTCTCAATTCTTTTAGACATCAGAATAATTCAAGTTATTTGTCCAGGAAACACACCTAATCAGAGCAAAGATAGGATCACCTTACTGGTCGTCGTAGTTCTTTATTTTGTTCGCTACCACACGGTTCTCATAGAGAAAATGTGTTTTGTAAAATAATGGCGCTGTTTAAAGACACAGTGACTAGTGAGGTGTAAACTTGGTAGTAGTGTAGACAACACCCTCATCTTCCATACCGCTTGATCACAAAAGCCACGGTACCAAGAAACGAAGCGCTCCATGCTATACGAACGATTCTACACGACTAAGGAAACACACTCCAATATTCAGATACTAATGAAAGTTGAGCTGTGTCCTTTGCTACGCCGAAGTAGAAAACCTTAGGAGTGAACATTAGAAATTCCGCCTGAACCAGCTCAATACTCACATCAACAGATACATTCGGAACGCTCAAGAAGTCCCACGCATTCATACACATCGAATATCTCGGCAATAGGACATCGCCACATCGCCGCGCGGTCGTGGCACGAGCCATACATGGCGCGCCGATCCATCGAGATCTGGTTGACACGGCCGGAAGTCAAAGTGCCCGGGTGTCCCCCAACAGGCCCCACCCGCAGGGCGAAGCATAGACGCAGTCGCTACGCTCGCGGCAAAGGGACGAGTCGCAGCGCATACTGTAGCGGTTAGGCGTCAGGTTAAAGAGAGTGTACCATACTACGTCTCATATCGCACAGCACGCGCTGCAACTCGTCTCTTTGCCGCATCTGCGTCTCTTGCTTCGCCGCGCGGTGGGCCTGTTGGGGGACACCCCCCAACGCGAAATAACCGCTGCTCTACGCCACGTACGCTGACCGCCTATTCGAATCCACGACACCCTCCTCCTGTTCACCGCATGTCAAGCGACTGCCCTCGCCCCTGCCTGTCCAAGATTGAGCAACACTACCTCCTGGTTCATCATACATTTCTCGATTTTGCAGACATCACAGAACGGACTACTAGGGCATCAGTCTCCCACCCAAGTAATATCCATCCAGGAGAGGAAAAACTTGACAGATCCATGGGACGTCGTGACTTTCAGGAGGGGGCCCTTATTTTTTTTTGGCGGGGTCATAGGGGCTAGGGTCGTCTTCCCGTGACCTGGTCAGTATCTTGCTGGTCATCATCCTGAAGATAGGCGCTGATCAGGTTAGCGCCAGCAGAAAGCAACAGATCATGCACATACAAAATTGCTTTCCAAAGTTATGCAGCAAACTCGCATCCAATTCTTCACCCTTCATGAAGAAGACGTATTGAAAACAAAGTACAACAAGAAATGAAGTAGCAACCTCCCTAGCAAAAATTGTTGGGGCTCACATCTGCCAATCCTAGCGCCTGCAAAGGTGCTTCCTCTCATTTACGCCCGCTCCCTCCTTTCTTGATACCATGAAAATACGAATCAGCGAGGTCACGACATCTGTTTTACTAAACAATGCATCTTTATGTCAACAATTTGATCATCTCGATAAACACCTTCAAGACCCGCGCTATTTGCATACCGCGGATGAAGGTTCGGATTGTATGCTTCTAATACTGCCCCAAAATGATGGCAGGTGACGCATTGTCCACTTATTATTGTTACTTGGAAGGGTGCTATTCTTAAAGCACATTTCGAACTTGTCTTCACAATTTAATTTTGGGTGCTAACATAGTTGGGGGGGGGGGCACGCGGCGGCGCGGCAGTCTGCTCGTCTGGCATGTTCGGAAATCCGTGGGCCAGGGGGGAGTGTAGCCAGCCTAGGGGGTTGGGGGGTGGGGGCAGTCACTTGACATGCGTGAAAAGCTGGAATGTTCGAGTTTACACTGTCTCGCTCGAGAGGGCCCAGGCCCGAACATGCCAGACGAGCAGACTGCCGCGCCGCCGCGTGCCCCGGACCCCCCCGACCCACTAGTTAGCACCGTACTTTTGCTGTGGTGAGAAAGGAGCAGCTTTTTGAGCGGCCGAGAATCATCCTCGACAGATTCTCGACGCAAATATCTCATCAACAGGAGAAAGTAGAAGAAAGCTAAGCATAATGTTGGAAAGCGCAAACCTTCTTCTTTCCAGAACTCTCTTTATCTTTCCAAGATTTCGTGAAATTGGAGAGATATTGCCTCTTAAAAGGCAAAAACTCGCGTAAAAATTTCAGCGCCTTCGACGCTGCCTCGACAGATTTTGAGAGGCTATATCTCTTCGATGAAGAGGCTTTCATAGCAATTCCAATACTGCCTGATAGAAGCGGATCTAGCTCTATCTCAATCTATCGCGTGCTGCGTATCAAAAGTTGGAATGGGTAATGGAATCCATCGACGCCGTGTACGAATTTCCCACGGTTTGTTTTTTCGAATTTCTGTTTCAGTTCCAAATACTGACGCCCTGGAACACAATCGATGCGCCGAGCATGGACTTGCCTTGAGCTAAGAATCGACCGTTCACAAAGCCGATAAAGAGCCTCGGAAGATAGCGAATATTTAGACATGTCGCCTCTGTCACTTAGCGGAGGAGGCGTCGCCACAGCACCACATCCGTCAACTCGGTCATTCTCAGGGGGGGATCGGGGGGGGGGTCGTACTAATGCGACCACGTCCTCGACACGATTGTCACCCTGGTCCCCATGTTAATGCGTTTCGCGCCTACCGCATTTTAAAAACCGGCGTGCCGACTCGACTAGCATTGCACTTCGAAGTTCGAACACATCAAAGGGGAATTATCCACTAAATTGAAACTGAATGCCTTTTGAGTTTTGGTAACAGGATAAATTTTCTTCTTTCTTTTTTTCACTCCTATGTCACCGTTTCAAATTCATATGAGTTATTAACCTGGAGAGAATGGATGGCGACCCAGCTGAGGTCCAGTTCCACAATAAAAAAAAAGCAGGGATAAGCAGGGTGAATAACGGTCGAGGAAATCCTCGACAGGGGGTCGTATTTGCTCCGATGAGAGTTGGGAGGGGGTCGTAATCAAAAGGTTCATCAACGGACACAACGGTGCTGCTGCCACTTATTTGCTGTCATCATTACTTTCACAAGTGTTGTAGTTAGCCTAATGCAAATAATATCTTACACTGTCTGGAATTAAAATTAAATGGAAAGTGGTTGTTGGTTTGGTTCGTAGTGATCAGTGTGGCATAGGAAGGCAACGCGTCCTGCAAAAGAATCGTAGGGAAAGGGCAGCGAGTATCTACTCTAGAATGATGTACATGCTTCGAGAACTTAGTGGAGGAACAGCATCTTGGTAGAAAGTTCAAAACAGGCAGATTCGCAGCCTTCTTGGCATCATCAGATCCTGCAACCGCAAGCTGTCATTCATCAGAACGGGTTGGAAAGGAAGCGATTTGAATAAAGGAATGATCAGACATCACTATGACCACAAAGTTATCCTAATTAGTTAATACTGGAAATATCTTTTGGTGTGAATCTGCTTAAGTCGTCACTATGACAATTAAGAAAGAAAAACCATTATAAACAAAATAATTGATACGGTTCGTTTCGCTCCTTCCTCAGACGAACCTTATTATTTCGTCAATCCCCGGAGCTCATCAGTGAGTTGGGATTGGCGAAATAAAGACACAGGGGAAAGACACCAAAAACAAAACACCTTCCCAATGAAAACACCAAGCAAAACACCTTCCCAATGACTCACTGCATGGCGCATACAAGAACGGAATGGATCCTGCGCCAAGTGCATCATTTTCAATTTACTCCATCGAACTGACGTGTACAGAAGTATTTTGAAGGTGTTCAAAGAAGTTCCCTACTACGGCGAGGGAGTAAT